ATGTTTTTCTTTTCCTGTTAAAGACGTCATCATTCAACATCAACGGGTGAGTTAATTTTTTTTCTTTTTCTTTTCTTCGTTGAGATGCGAATAGTTAGGGTGAGTGAAGTACGTTGAGTTTAGGGTTTCGCCTTATAAGAAGGACTTCCGGGTAGTCCCTAAAAGCCTGGCCAGGAACTGTCTTGGTGTCCGTGGCACACGATCGGGCCCCCCAACTCACTGACATATGACATCGGATGGATGCATGTGGATGATGTGGGTCTTCCCGCGCGTGCATGAGCTTTACGCTCGCCACGGCTCCACCAGGATGGTTCCTGGTCGCGCGCGCGCGAATAGAATAGCAATGAATTCATTTTTTCATTCAATCACGATTTATTTGAAAGAGAAAGAGAACAAACAAAAAAAAATTCATCATCGTATTAAATTTCATTCGATATTAAACTTTTGTACTCGATTATTTCCCCATTCGGCGACATAGAGATTGCCATGTCGATCGAATGATAAACCAACGGGACGATAGAGTTGATTTGGCCGTGCTCTTTCACCAACAATGACACTTCCCTGTGTGGCTCCTTTTGGCCAACGCATGATTCGAGCATTCCCAAAATCAGCCACATAGACAGTACCCAATTGATCAACAACGACTCCTTGAGGACCATTTAATTGTGTAAGAATATTTCCTTGTCCTTGACCACCGGCTACGACAATGCCTTGTTTTGCACGTTCTTCCCATTTCATTACACGATGATTTTCATAATCAGACACATAAACTGAATCATCTCGATCGACAAATACGTAGTGGGGATTAGAGAGTTGATCGAGACGATTTCCTTTTCCATTACCACCTGCAACTACTGTTCCTTGAGTGTCACCAATTTTATATCGTCTCACTTGATGTTGTTCATTGTCAACGACATAGAGATAACCATTGTCGTCTATTGTCAAACCGAAGCAAGAGATATTTGAAATAATAGTTTCTCCACGAGTACCATTTCGACGAGGCCATCGAACTACTCTATTATTCGCTCCATCGCTGATGATGAGACTATCGCTCTCTTTGTCGATAATCACATCAAATGGGTAGTTTAACTGATCAGCTCCATTACCTGATCCATTTCTACCAGCAACTACTTTTCCATTCGTTGCGCCAGATTTCCATTCCACAATACGATGATTATAACAATCAGCGACATAAATCGTTTGATCATCATCGACGTACAAACCATATGGCCAATTGAGTTGATTGGTTTCACTGCC